TATTTGCTTTGTGCGTGAAATTAATGTGGTGCATGGTGTCCTTATCCTTACAAACAACACGGCACATATGACGAGTACGAATCAATTTGATGGAAATACCTTTTTATTTTCCACCTGAAAAGGTATCTTCCCTTTCAGTTCTATTTAAAACCTTTTCAGCATCACAATACGTGTATGTCAAAATATTAAAGAAATGGCACAAATGAAAGACAATCGCACAGTGGGCTTACAATAAAATGTTTCACTATTTGAACCACCTTTGGAAAGAAATCACTTCTTTTACAGGTATTTTCTCAGCAACCCAATATGTGGTTTTTCATGATTTTGTTTTCGGTATTTGAAAGAAAAGGCCCTCAGCTTCAAAACAGAAGAAAGGCAAATGTTTCAGAGTTGCATTTCTTGGGGATCACCCTGTAAATAATAGAAGGGCGCATTCGTGAATCGGGATGTTTTCGCGCAAAAGCCATACGAATGCCGCTAACAAAAGTAGCACCAGTCGCTTAAAGCCTTCACTTGTAGAAGTGCCTTTGGACACCTCTCTGGAGTGAATGTACATCTTGCGTAGCATCAATTCTTGGTTCCGTTCTCTCTTGACCCCCACCCAAATGTATAACTATCGAATTTAGGCCATCAGCCTGGGGTTTGGTCAGTATCAAATCAGGGCATAAATGATTATAGTGCGCTTGCGCAAGGTATACCGCCCCTAGAGTGGTAACGAGCATTTTATGGACATTTTGAAAAAACAGGGTGATAACACCCAAAAAGCTGCCACCGCTGCAATGCTATCAGATATTTTCCAACTCTGGAGGTGTAAACCTTGCCAAAAATCGCTATGACGATTATTCCCCTCATTTGATAGCGGTGGCCAACATTTTGGACCGAGGCTGATGGCCTAATTGAAGCTACGCCCATATTTTAATTGAGCACAGTTTCGGCACCACGCCTCAAGCGGAATGGCTGCTTGAACCAAGTGTACTTTTAGACCTCTTCAGGCGGTTGACATTGTACACTGATTAACTCGCCATTTCAAAGTGGAAGCGTTGAATATTAACTTCTTGAAAAGAAAAAAAGCAAAATAGAATAGTTATCAGGGCCTAGCTGAGTTTAATAATATCAATGCGCGATGTACGAAGTCCATGAGCAACGCCCGTAATATACATAAAAAGCAGCTCTTTCCACCCACGTGAAAGATTACACATTGGGTAATTATCATTATCAGGGAGATAGCTTTTGCCAGTATAAAGTAGTCATTTCGTTTAAAAAACACACAACACCATTACGTTATACGACATAAATAAAAAGGAATGGACTCAATGCGCTTGGAAAAGAGCCTCCGCGCATTCTTTCCTCTATAGGTTACATTATTTCATAAAAAAATGGTCGACAAAAAGAATTGTGCCTTTTAACGACATGTCGTTTATTCTGCGTTTATAGTGATTGCTTTAAAAAAAAAGTTGTAAGGAAATTCATTCCCCCCGATTTATGTGGCGTGTGCCGTAAGTGAAAAAAACCCTATCCCTCTAAATCATGTTGTGTTAGAAGTAGCTAGCCGTCCAGTTGCTTTTTTGAAATGCTGAGAAAAAAACCGTCAAAAATCGTTTGTGCGAACCAAAGAAGGCATAGGAGGCATAATGTGTGCTCACAGGGTATAACATATTCAACGTATTATAGTGTTATCGAGTGTCACGTCTTTGTAAGTTTGTAATTAAACAGGGATCTCTTGTCGCCCAATCTTTTTCAGCCACCCCCATTTTGTGAGATTATGCTTTTAGAAAGTGATAATACTAAGTACCTTGTCTTTACTCCATTTTTCTGGTCTTTTTTTTGCAATCCCAATTATAAAGAATTGATAAGCCTCTTCGGCATGAACTACAGCACTTCTTAAAATCAAGAAATCTCATTGTAAGTGCACAGCAAATCCTATTATCCTAAGAAAAAGAAGGTGCAAAAATATAGTCGTGAAGGCTTGTGTAAATGCAACACATGGACAGTATGCAAACCAATGCAGCATTGGTAACGGCTCATTAAATTTTGCTCATTTTTTTTTTAGCAAACAATGCTAATATGTATACTCGTGGTGTACCCGTAAAAAAACGAAACAGCTGGCGCGTGCCTCTTATATACATTTGTCATTAAATAGCCACGACGTGATCACCCGCGTTTCAAAAATGAACAATGTTCGTATCCCATGTTCAAGACGTTTGACCTTATTATTTTTTAGAAAATAAAACAACTGTGCCGTCCATACTAAATTGGTAAATTAGAATTCATACAAGAAAAAAAAATATATATTAACCTGTCTGTCAGAGTCGTGATACGCTCCTCTTGTAAATTAATTGAACGAAGTCAGTAAAACAAAAGTGCAGCTGCACAGTCGTGTTTTGTGAAAACGTTTTTTATTTATGCACTGGGTGTGGCGTAGACTTGCACAGCCTTCCCGCGCAAAGTGCAGTCACACCGAACAACAGAAAGGGCCCATGTAATGTAATTTTGCTCAATACAATCCTTGAAAATGCACCTTTGTGTCCCATTCAACCTTATTTTCAATTTTCATTTTGCCATTTTCAAGGGTATTTTGGTGCCTTTTTGGTTTTTATGCTGATGCAAATTTCCATATTCATGAGCAAAAGCGTGATGTCATATTAGGTAAAAACCTCAATGTTGCAATTAGTTTGTGCACAAAAAGTTGCCAGAATTTGGGATATTTCGCTATCGTAAACTTTCTTTGTGTCCGTTCATGACAGTTAGGCAATGAGCAAACTGTTCTCATAATTTCTTTTCAATGAGCAAATGTTTGGGTTCACAATTTCAACAGGAAAACACCTAATATGCAAAGTGTCCTCCTCACGGCAACATCGTCCCCAGTTGTCCAGAAAAGCACGGACAATTTTGAATGTTCAAAGAAGTGAACTTTTTAATAAGATTAATCAAAAAGGGATGTCAATTAGTTTCTATACTTTGGAAAGTATTATGTTCCTAAGAAATATTCATTTCACGGGCCCTGTAACGCCACTCAGTAACCCCCGCCCCGCCCCACCCTCCATGCACTCTAACAAGTCCCTACTCAGATTCGACCAGGAAGACGGGTTCCATTTGACTTAATAATATTTCAGGGTCCAACTTTACACCCTTTTGGGTCAAGATAGAAGTTCTGTAGATCATTCTCCGGGTCATTGTAACTCCCACACCTTCACTCCGAAAAGTGACAATACTGGTCAGAGGCACCGAAGCAGTTAAAAACAAGTGCGAGTGCACAATAAGCTCCTGCGAAAAAATGCGACGCTGATGGTACATATGAAACACCATACTTTTGGTAAATTTTTGGGACATTTTCTCCTTCTGGAAACCGTCCGACCACTTCACAAAATGGCGTCCACCTTGTTCGAGGAAGATGTTTATGGCGCAAGTATGAGTGCACAATAATCTCTGGCTGTGTTGAGAGAATTCTGGCATGAAAGTCTTGCATAAAATCGATCAAAATGATAGTTATCAGGAACCCCTAAGCTGGTAGAAAATAGGTAGTGGCAATTGGTACTCCCTAGGAGGATAAAAACAAGCGCATATGTGCACAATAAACTCTGGCAGTGTTGCAAGAGGTCTTGCATGACAGTCTTGCGTAAAATTCGATCAAAATGTTACCTGCCAGAGCTTAAAACTGCGACCCCGAAAAAATGCGACGCCGTTGACACACAATTCATAGAACTACATACATTTGGTCACTGTTCGGGGACAGACAGAAAGAAAGACAAACCGACCGACCACCAAGTGACATGTAGAAGCTCCTGCCAGAGCTAAAAAAATAGTCTTGACATTGTAAAGGACTGGGATAAAAGTCTACCATCCCGCGGCGCACCCAGTAAACAGAACTGAACACGCGCAGAAAAAAACCAGAAAATCTGGAAACAATTTACGCATAGCCTGACACACAGATGCCGAGCAGCATTTCATGTTATTCACATCGACAAAATCCAAACCCTCAATAATCCCGTCATATTATAATGAACTACTCGATTGCCGGTCAATAGTATTATAATATTCTAGCAGTAAAATCAAATATTAAAATATCGCTACATGACGCTCAGCTGTTAATGTATTGCTGGGAATGAACAAATTAAGTCGATCATATAAATTACATGCAGAATGAATAAAACGCACGCACATCCTACATAGTGGAATGATGCTTTATAATATCATATCATTTAATTACCGAAATATTTTTGTGATCTACTACAATGTATTTAACAAACTGCTATAGTGCCTATTTGAAAATACCTTTTCACTAATGTAAATCGCTGTTACTGTTAGTGTTTTGAGACTTGTACTATTTAGAACTTTTTCAAGTTGAACATGAAGATCAACTACAGTTAAAACAGGAGTGTCTCAGGGCAGTTTTTGTCCAGGTTTTGTGTAGTTTGAAAAAAAAAGTACCAATTAAAGTTTTTTTTATTAATTTTTTTTTGTTCCGTAAGGTGGATGAATATCCAGTATTCACACATTAATTATACCACAAAAATGAATCATTTGTGTGAATTTTCAACTTCAAGTTGATTGAATAAAAACCGTTTGTAGACCCATGGGACGGAAGACTATCTGCAAAATCATAGCGGTATAATGAACGTCTTTTGAAGATGAGTGACCATGACACGAAGAATTAAAAAAAAAATCCTTCGCTTGTGCGATTGCGAAACTCAACTGCACCGAGGAGACTGTAAATATGAAACACTTTATACGCTGAATTACGACGACCTTCGCCACTGATTTCGCTTTTTTGTTATTAAGGATCGCTTGTGTGCTTACACATGCGGCTCTCCATAGCTGTATACGGTCGTAAAACTGTCATGGGCCCATGGTTTTTTTTTTTATAATGGAATCGTCGGCATAGCTTCGTACATGATCCGTGCTTCGACTGACTGCAAACACGTCCCATATTGACACGCAACTCGATCTCTAAATTTCGGAATCTAGGACTTGATACAGAGTTTTAAAAATCACTAACTTACCAGAAATCGGGTTGAAATTATCTGTTAGATCCGCAGTGTTGGTCGGATATAGTTTCACCAGATACGATCTCAGTCCTGGTATACGTCCCCTTGTTCCTCAACGGTAACGTTTGCTAGTGGCGCGATCGAGCAGAAAGACCGTTTGGTTCGGGAGCAGATGTGTGCTGCGTGAGCGCGGATGGATCAGGGCGTGAATATGACTGTGCTCCGGCCCCCGGTTATTATAGCCTATCTCGATGGCCGATTCCGTGGAGTGTTTACACGCGTCGCCAAAACAATGTGACCTCGCTAGAAACGGCCAGAGTTAATATTTGAACTCAAAGGTAATTGATTAAAAAGATAGTTTAACTATCACAGCGAAGTTCGAGGTTAAATTTGTACCTTGCACGCAGTCCGCCCGCACCCAGACTTTGAACTTTATAAAGAAGCGATGAGGCAATGCCTCGTGGTCTGTGAGTATGCCATTGTGTGACGTCAGTGTTTAGTCAGCCAATCTGCGGCCTTCTTTCAATATACTCTGTGACTCAAAATGGTCGAAAACCAAACTAGTTTATACCGGATTACAATATCCCTTTCAGAATGGGTACAAAAGATTGCCATATTTTTTAAAATGGAAAATCGCCACAAGCAAGGCTATAAAAGCTATATAGAGAGAAGACAAGTATGATGAAAAGAGAAAAAAAAAACAATCAAAAGCTGAAGGTAGGAATTGATATTCCTCTTAAAAGAGGCTATAGATCGTAGAAAATGGAGGGAAAGAGCCACTGGGCAATGAGTTCCAAAGAGATACAGACTCATTGTTACAATGACCTACTGGATACAACAAACGAAACGAGCGCACTGTATCCACGACCCACCCCTGCCTGAAATGGACCACTGTGATTTTTTTCTCTGAAGCTGTCAAAACATGATTTATATTTAAATAAAAAAAAAATAACAAAAGGTCTCAGCAATTGTAGCACACACGTTCGCGGATGCTTGCCTGAAGTGAATGTCAGAATTGCTATTGTGAATCTGAACTGATATAGGCTTACTGATTGCCCGTCACTACGAACTATGCAGCACATCATTTACCCCGCATAGAATAATTCAATTCCTGAAGCAGGGACCACGGTATTGTCATCAGCACAATAATGGCTATATGCAAACATGAACTTGATTATATTAACCCTTGCCTGTTTCTGAATACAGGAAAGCTGTATAAATGTTCAGAGTATGAAGCGTAGTACAATTATCGACGCTCGTTTGCATATGTCACGTTTTGCACACACGGCTCAAGGTAATGTATTTCAAGCATGTTTTCAAAACCCACAGCGTTGTATGGATTGGAATACTTTCGCTGGTGCCCTGTTTTTCTCTATGCAGCCACACTAGTGAATCATTAAATACATGTGTTGGTTCAAACACCACCCTAATCACAGGCTGTATTAAAAAAACTAAGAAAATAACTTCTTGATGCATATTTATAACTGCAATGTGTAAATTATCTCGAATTGTTATGTCTTAGTACCTGCATGCACACTCATTTGCTGTTGTAGTCCTTTGTCCTGTCTGTCCCATTGTCTGTCCCTAGGTTAGGGTACAAAAGCATTTTTGCTTCACCAAAACCTAAATGTTGTTCTTTGTGTAATAATTTGATATTAAACTTAACCTGTAATATTGTATTAACTTATTGTAAACACTGTACATCCAAGGACAGCATTGAAATAAATGTCGTATTGATTGATTGATTAATCCGGGTACCAGTGATAATTGAGTAAATTCAGCCCAGATCCTTCAATTTCTGACTAAATGTAACATTCTGTTGGTAAGTGTGCCTCTGATAGTTCGTTTTTCAATGACAAATTAACCATGCTTTATCACACATTTTCAGAGTTATTAATGGCAAACAATTTTGTTAACATGTAACAAAAAACCTGTCACGTGACTTCTGATGAGAATTATTGATCGTGTTGACGCTCATATTGCCGGCGTCACGACATTGAATCGGCACGACTTGTAATGGCAACAGACGGATTAATTGATTTCAGAGCACGGTAATACATTAGTCTGCTGTCGTTAAAGTGTTTAACCAACGATGAGTGTAGCTCTTAAACCATGTTACATTTGTTTACAAAATGTCGGATGTCATGGTCACGTAGTACGTGATACGAACTTGCAGCAAACGGGGCCCAATTTCATGGCTCTGCTAATCATAGAATTCCGTGCTTACGATCACCATTTTGTGCTAACCGCGCAAGCAGAAAACTTCTGTGCTAACCCCGTAAGCACGTAATCCATGGTTACGGGATGTACACATGCGCAGAAGCCAACGTTCCTTGTTAACCTGTGAAATACGCTAACCGTAAGCACGGAATTATTTTCAGCTAAAGTAAGCAGGGATTTTTGCTAACGGTAAGCATAGCCATGAAACTGGTCTCAAACTGTTCTGCACTTCATGTTTTTCTCTTGAACTGCGAGTTGGCTTAAAGCTATAGTCCATCATTTGCAGCCATCCGAAAAGTAACTGGCGTAATTACTGTTGAAAAACAAACTTGGTTGAAAGATAGTAAGGGAACTAAACTCCCTGTGAAATTATTCTTTCTGGGAAGCTGTCATTTTGAAGTAATCAACGAAAGAAGGCATTTCCAACGGTGATTCTTAAGAAGTACCGTAGGAAAATTTAAATTAGTAGTTCGTTTTGTTATTCAGCGCAGCGCGCACAAGTATTGGAACGACGCACACGCGCGCGCGGTTGTTATAATTCGTCCAATTCGTCGGATCAGTGCGCGACGCCGCGTACAGCTGCAATTCAAAACAATTCAAAACATGATTCAGTAACTTTTGATTTGAAATTGAGATCTTAGAATGCTGCTTTTCTCGGAATGTACAACTGAAGCTTAGCTGAAACTTCATCAGGTTAGTTGCTCAGTATCCTTCATTAGATTTTGAACACTTTTGTTGCTTCAAACGAACAAAATGCACTAATTACAAATGTTGGACTATAGCTTTAAAGCTATAGTCCATCATTTGCAGCTATCCGAAAAGTAGCTGGCGTAATTATTGTTGAAAATCATACTTGGTTGAAAGATAGTAAGGGTACTAAACTCCCTGTGAAATTATTCTTTCTGGCAAGCTGTCATTTTGAAGTAATCAACGAAAGAAGGCCTTTCCAACGGTGCTTCTTAAGACGCACCGTAGGAAAATTTAAATTAGTAGTTCGTTTTGTTATTCGGCGAAGTGCGCGCAATCATTGGCACGACGCACACGCGCGCGCGGCTGCTATAATTCGTCGGATCGCTGCGCAACATCGCGTAGCTGCAATCGGCTCAGCGAGAACGTGTCTCGGACGCTGAATTCAGGCGCAATTCAAAACATGATTCAGCAACTTTTGATTTGAAATTGAGATCCTAGAATGCTGTTTTTCTCGGAATATACAGCTGAAGCTGCGCTGAAACTTCATTAGGTTAGTTGTTCAGTACCCTTCTTTAGATTTTGAGCACTTTTGTTGCTTCAATCGAACAAAATGCACAAATTACAAATGATGGACTATAGCTTTAAAAGTGTTGACAGAAAGAAAATGTCGCCAATTGTAACATGCAAAAGATGCTCAAGCTTGGAGTTGTTTGTTGGTATGACGTCACAATTAAGTGACATATGGCCTGTGCCGAAGATTTCGTATCATACCGTACCTGCATACATTAGCTAGCGGTTGTTTTTATAAAGATATTTCACCTATAGAATACAATTATCGTAGATATATCTCAACGAGTTCAATTCTGCCAGTAATAAATTATGAAGCCTCTCGGAGGACTAGCACCAAGTTTACCACTAACAAATATGGCAACATTTGGCGGGAGCGTGCATGCGTGTTTGTATATACGGGTCGTACGTCTTCTTCGTAGATAGTCGAACAAATAAACCCGGTCAGGGACGGGTCAGATGATGACTGGTTGTATATTTTGCCAGTCTGTTTAGATATCTTCCCGGTCATATATTACCGTAATGGACAGGGGTAAATGCATTGGATGCTGTGCGTTGGTATTAGAAAGCGCATATTATTACTCCCCATAATGCATGCACTTTAGGTCAATTGTCTTTACGTCTATATACTAATTTCCTTGTGTATATTTTCAGTTATTGGTATGCTAATTTTTAGTGTTGATAACTTGGAAATACTGCAGAGTCAGAGTGATTTCATTCTGAGAACCAGTGGCGTATATCCAGGGGGGGGGGGGGAGATCCCCGGGGAATTGTCCTGAAAACTATTTTTTTCAGTAACTATTTCCATAAGTGGTTATAGGACTTAGAATAGTGCATCAAAAGCTGGATACACCACTGCTGAGAACTAAATTCTCCGAATTGTCCGATATGGCTTTCCATACGTGCCAGAAAGGGGCGTGGCGCCCAGCAAGACCTCACTGCTCAGTGATAGATCCTCAAAAAAATACATGTAAAAACATCCAAAAAAGCACAGCCCCAAGATGCCAGAAAAGGAAGAAAGAAATTGAGTGCCCTGCCCCCGCACTCAAAGAACATATGCATGATAGGCTGCTGTTTTTCAATATACCACTCTCATCTATCTTCTTTGGCACTACAACCTGACTACACAGATTAATATTTTTAATCATTATCAGATAAATTCAAAAGTCAACTCATTTTTCTCAAAGACATACATATATATTCCAAGTAGGCCTACTGCAAACATGTTTCAAGTTCGTTAATTAATTAGCTTAGTTGCCGGCAATTATGCAGCCGAGTTCCTAAATTATAGAGGCTATACTAATTGAAAACCTCATTTTCACGGACACCAGACTAATTGCTCCCGGTGGTCCCAATTGTTATATTATCATATTGGCCTACAAGCAATTAGCTGCGATCAGGTCCCCTGCTATGGCTTAAAATGAACCCCTTCAGTGATGCATCAGTTGAGTGTCTGTCTGCCGCCTCGCAGCACTTCATGTCACAATTAAGGGACAGGCGCCATTAACCATCGACTGGTACCCGACTACTCTTACTATGTCAACTTGAGCTGTTGAGGGCTTAATTTTATGCACTACTTCATTCCTGAGCCATGACTACTTCGCTGACATTCAAGCCTCACGAAGAAGATGAATCGCAGTGTCATAATGGCATGACATATCGGCCATTACTCAAACCACGCATGCGAGTTGGGATTCATTACTGCATGTAGATCATTGACTTTGGAGATTTTAGGTGCAATGTGTCTTTTCATCTGCTGCACTGTTCTAAGCTCTCTAGTTGCAAACCCGAGTTTGGAATCTGTCCAAATGTTCAGAACAGAAAATGCCAACGGAATCGTTCTGGGGCTGAGGATCAGGACTAAGCCAAAGCCTGAGTCGACACCGAGGTTTGACGAATGGGTCCCGCGGGATGGAACGTGCTTTA